TTACAACATACTGCTTCATAAAAAGAAAAAGGTGGAAGGATTAAGTGTTGCCAACTGGTGGATAAATTTGTAGTCTTCCATAGCACGTGGTCAAATGGGACTAATATTTCATGATTGAGTCAAGTAATAAAGCAATGTATATAATTTGCAATGAAACAATATCAGTCCTCAAAGAATACAATATAAAACGTCATTATGAGACTAAACATTCTCAAATTACTTCAGATTTACAGGAAGCTTACAGTTAGAAAAATATAAATCTTTGAAACACGAGTTGAAATCTCAGCAATTTTTGTTTAAGAAAGTAAATGCTGAACAAGAAGCAGTAACTTGTGCTACTTTCTGCATGGCTCATTCAATAGCAAAACATGAGAAGCCATTTACTGATGGCAAATTAATTAAGGATTGCATGATTGCAGCAGCAGAAGAAATGTGTCCAGAAAAAGCTAATTTATTTAAAAACATTAGTTTGTCAGCAAACACTGTGGCTTGAAGAGTAGATGATATTGATATTGCAGAAAATATATTAACTCAATTATCTGACAAAAATCGACACTTAGAGTGGTTCTCTTTGGCCCTGGATGAGTCAACAGATGTTTCAGATACTGCTCAGGTGTTTTTATTTGATGGATAGATAAAAATTATGAAGTGTATGAAGAGCTTATTGACGTTCATAGCATTCACAGCACGACTACTGGAGAAGATATTTTTAAAGGAGTTTAAAATGCTGTTCAGAAAAACAATCTTCAATGGGAAAACTTGAAGTGTATCGCAAAAACATGTATGGAAAAAATAAAGGTGTCGTTGCTCTTGTATCAAAGGCCATAGAAAATGGCGGTGGTTCAAAACCATTAATCGTACATTGTATCATTCATCAACAGTCTTTGTGCGGAATATGCTTGGATATGTCAAAGTTTTAAAGACAGTCATGTCAGCTATTAATTATATTAGATCACATGCACTCAATCATTGTCAATTCCATGACTTTATTGAAGAAATTGGAGAAAATGACTTACAATATTATACTGCAGTATGCTGGCTTAGCTGTGGAAAGGTTCTAACCTAATTTTTTGAGTTCCAAGCAATAATCAAAATTTTCTTGAATGAAAGGAATTGTCCTCTGGCTGAGTTAGATAACAATAAGTGGTTATGGAAGTTATCATTTTATACAGATTTAACATATGAATGACCTTAATTTAAAATTACAAGGAGAAAACCAGCTTCTGCCTGATTTATACACTCATATTAAGTCCTTTCAACAGAAAATTGTTTTAGTTTCAATCTCAATTAAACAAAAAATCACACATTTTAATACATGCCAAACATTCAGTCAGCAGACAGACTCCATTTCCAGTAGATTTCGCAATTGAAGCTTTGGGTGCTTTAAAAATAAATTTTGAGTATCGTTTTTCAGATTTTGGTGCAATTGCAAATGATATCAAGATTTTTCAAAATCCTTTTAATGCTGATATTGAAACCCTTGCCCCAGAACTTCAAATGGAAAGATTGATTTGCAGTGTAGCAATATTTTTAAAGAAAAATATTTAAAGTCATGATTGCTGGAATTTTATAAGTGTCTTCCACTAACAGTTTGATCAGTTGCAGTGGCGTAGCGTGGGTATCAGCTGCCCGGGGCAGAGGAAAATTTCGTCCTCCCTTATTTAGGTATCTCAATTTAAAAGACTAAAATTCAGTTTTGTCACAGAACAAGCAATGAAAAATTCTATGCTAGTGCAGCAACCTGTTTAAAATAGCTGTATTGGATTGTATTGGATATTGGTGGTGTATATGAATGAATCGTACAAGAAAGAAAAAAAAAAATTGTCAACAGGTTGCACAGGATATCCTCAGATGAAATTATTAGTTCACCCAGACGGTGAGCTGATTCCCGGACTGTCCGGACGATAGCACTATCATAGGCGCAACGCAAATATAGATTAGAATGGTTCAAATTTTTACAAGATATTATTATTATTTATTGTGAAATTTTGCCGCCCCCACTACGCTACACCACTGGATCAGTTGCAAAAATTTGCTTTTTTCCACTTTTGGCACTACTTATCTGTGTGAAAAAAACATTCTCCAAACTGAAATATACAAAAAATATTTACAGATCCAACTGATGAGCATTTGAAGTCGCTGTTCATAATTTCCACTAGTAAACTTGATCCACAACTGCAAACAATTATCAGTGGAAAGCTACAGCTACAGCAGTCTCATTAATCATAATTATAATGTTTAATTTCATTATGTGAATTACCTATGTATGTCACTTATTGTAAGTTTTTAGGATAAATCTCATATTATTAATTACAGTTAAAATGTTCAATTTCATTGTGTATGTCAGTTATTGTATTTATTAACTGGTCATTAAATAAAAACATCTGATTATTATTTTGTATGATTTACTTACATTGTAAATTTTACAATGTATTTACAATGTAATCAAAATAAACTATGGCAGGCTGGATACTAGGCATATTCGGGACGCTACTGCGGGCCAGATTGGTGGTGCTCACAGGCCATAGTTTAGAGACCCCTGATATAGAGTGATGTTGAGATGATGACGGGAAATTGATGGCAACCAAGTGGGTGATGATCAAACTAATTTTCTTGATCAGTTTGCTTTTGATATTGTCTAGTTTGTAGCAGCCTACAGCAAATTCATAACATCAGCTTCATTAGAATTACTACAGTCATTTAAAATTTTAAAATAGTCAAACCTGTCTATAACAGAATCTGTATATAGCAAAAACCTGTCATTAACAGGAAATTTCTTTGATCCCTTCAATTTTTTGCAAAAAGTAACTTAAATTAACCTATATATAGCAGAACCTGTCCAATGCAGAAACAGAAAGGAAAATCAGGCCGTATAATGGAAAAATCAGTATCTTTATCTGATTTAACACAAATTTAACAAGAAGTTTACAAGCCTAGCATGTATAAATCTTAAAAAAGTCAAAAAATACACATACCAAATACATAATAGCAAAATATGACTACTGTATTACAGTAATTTTAATGGGATTTGAACGGAAAGTTTTTGCATATTTTTATTAACAGCTGTTTTTACTTAACATAAATATGTAATGTAATTGTAAGTTTTGATATTTAATACATTATTCCTGATGTGAGATTGTATTCTTTGTTTTGAAGCTTATTTTAAACTTTTTCTATATCACATTTCATTTGAATAAAATCAAGTCAAAATGTCTGCAGATAAATATGCCCAATGTGTATATTATGCATGCTTTTTAAGTTTTGTAAAGGATATCATGCTATATAGCAGTAAAAAATACTTGTACTGTGTATGGGGAAGATGCTTCTAAACTCTAAATGTGTCAAATGTGGTTTTGAAAGTTTCATTCGGGGAAAATTTGAACTAAAGGATACAAAACATACAGGCCCCCCAAAAGCTATTGAAGATAAATTGTGGGAAGAAATTGTTAAAAATTGACGAATAACAACTCATAAATTTGCAACAAATCTTAGTGTGTCAGACACATATTGTTGATACACTTCAACCACTTAAAATGGTTGTAAAATATGCTGATAATTGTGTTCTGCATACAGTTTGTTTTTTTTTCCTTTATGAAAAAAATGAACTGAATTGAGTATAATTTTGTCTGATGAAAGCAGGCAGCTGTAAGGTTTTATTTAATTTTAAATTAATCACTCATTTTTATCTTAGAGAACTTTTTATGAAAGAATGAAAAAATTAAAGTTAAAATAAAAATATTTGTTATTAAACAAAAATTTGTTCTAGCAGGTAATGATGGTTTGGTTGAGTACTGAGGTACCACTATTTGATTAATGCATTTTGATATACCCAGTAACATTGAAAAAGTTATTAATGCTTGTAGGTAACCTGTATATAGCAGAAACCTGTCTACTATGGAAGAGTTGTTTGGTCCCTTGGGGTTTTGTTATAGGTTTGACTGTATAATGGTGTGCATCTATTTACTTACTATTTAGTCAATTTAATAAGAAATGATTGAAGATTTTAAATTAGAAATAGTTCAAGAGCAATTTTTTCAATCTTATGTTTGGTGATTAAAATGATTTCAACAAAGAAATTTTGAAATAATTATGTTAATAAGTATAGTGAAAAATTAGTTCAGAGTACAAGTTTGGCTTTGTAAACTGTACAGGTTCTGAAATATGCTGTTTAAAATAATTTTAATTCGCATGTACAGAAATAAATTTTTATTTAATATTTTAATGTATATTTTATCTGTAGATTTTAATGTATATTTTATCTTTTTAAAGTCTTTGATATGTGTTATACATACAAATTATCACTTGTACAATGATGATAAAGTTAATAAAATGACTGCTTTATTTAATTACTAATATTCAGTTTAGATTGACTTATCTTAAAAGTAGAAAACTTGAAATTACTTTCAATTTAGTTAAGTTGATTGTCAATACTTTGAATAAATGATCCAAAAATAGGGAAACAAGTTAAACATATATTTATGCACTAAATGATATTAAGTATAAAAAAATATTTATTCTCTTCTTAATAAAATAATTTTGAAGTATTGAAAGCTTGTGACACCAAATAATAATCAAGCAATACAAATTGAAGAAAAATTTTTATCGTATGCAGACAGGCTGTTAACAGAAAATTTTTCTGTTTACAACCTGTTCATGTACATTTAAAATTTTTAAGTCATATTTCTTTTTTCTGTATAACTAGATTCCAATCCGGGAAACAGAGCACAGTGTTTTCAGAACTTTAATTCCAGCTAGCATTTTAAACAATTTATTGTGTGCACCGATATCGCAAATAGACAAAATGCTTTTTTACATTCTATGCTTATTTTAAGTGCTGAATAATAATCTTTAATTCACATAACTTTTTAAACTATTCTTCACAATAAAATAAATAAACTAGAAACTAATAATAATTTTCAAAAACTGTAATATTAGCATTATCTTATTTTCAAATTTTAATAATCTGTTGCATGCTATTTAATACAAAGATTTAAGCTTACTGTTGTTGAGAAACATTCTGATGATTTCTAAGCGGCAGACGAGGCAAACGACCCTGGTGATGATTACAGTAACCTCTTCTGTTTTCAGAATAACCAGACCATTCACCATTTCTACCTTCATTACCAGGCTAAAATAATAATCATAATGTTTAAATGTTATTCTATTGAAATTTTAACTATTAATGATAACTTGCCAAAATATACTTAATGAACTTACTCTCCCATTTCTTGGACGACCAGCTGCTCTTTGTATCTGTCTTAATGTTTCACTATATTCATCAATTCTTGGAGATGGACCACTTGGTGTTGGTGCTCTTTGCCGTCCTTCTAATGAACTATCTGCAGATAATACTGCTGGAGAAGATCTTGGATAGCCACCAGAACCAGATGATAAATAATGTTCCCTTAAAACAAAAGCAATTAAATGCTGAGTTTAGTAAGTTTATTAAGAACAAAAAAGCAAGAACAGATAAAGAAATATTAGGTGATCATATCATTTTTGATTTATGAGAGTTGATTTCAACACCATGATTAGGAAATATGAGATAATTAACTTTAATTGACAATTTTAGTCTCCTGATATTTGTATATTTTTTATAAACCAAAAATAAAACACTTCTGACATGCAAGATTCAAATTATTAGTTGGAAACCAAACAGGAACTGACAGCAGTGGTATGTGAACAGAGAATTTAAACATATGCAGTAAAACTGAAGGATTAACACTAATAACACATCTTGAAACTCGAGCACAAATAACATTTAATAACTAAACAAATGATTTCAACCATGTTGAACAGATATTATCAGGTTTATCTTATCTAAACCATAAACTATAAAAATTCAGTCTTATGGCTTTCAAAGCTGTGGAATCTGCGAATATCTGAGGGATGATATCCGCAGGGGTGAATGAAAAATGATTGCCACAAAAAGGAGGAGACCAGTACGATATATTATTTAACAAACTTTATGCACCAAATATATATTTATAATTGAATCACAATACGATAGGTCGGCTTAAGCCTGGCACGTGGCAGCTTACACAAAGCACAAAGGGTCTACACAAGACAATCGAAGGACACACCTTCACTGTTGCACGCCAGGAACCAGAATGAATGGTTTCCGGTTCCCCACTATATATAACTCCTCCACCACTCTCACCGTGCTGCCACACAAAAACCGCCCAAAACACAAATAAAACCGCGCGTACAGCAATCGCGACGATCGTTTACATTAATTACATTAA